CAACATCTATTGAGACCTCGATTCACTTTGAGGTGAAGCTTGGATATGGTCCCCGCGATCGGAATGACCGAGGTTTACCTCACAGTGAACCGAAGTATCATTAGAGGTTGCGTGTCGCAACCCAACCACACAACTGGTTCCTCAAATTCAGCTTTGAGACTGCACCTACTTTTTCCGAACCCTCGAAGGAGAATAGAGGAAAAGCAGGAGAAAAGGTTTGTGGATGAAAAGTTGCCCGAGGAAATGTGTCTGAATGATTTTGATGCCGTATACACAAGATTGCCTCACGAAACAAGCTGGCAACATACTACACTCATGTCCTCAACGATTAACCGAACGGAGCTAAAGCTGAAGGACGGCCGTTTGGTGCGTCACCATTCTGACCATATTTGGCCAGGCTCAACCGAACCACAGGAGCGGGATCAAAACCGACTGCTACTGACTCAAAAACGAACGGAGAATCTTCTTCACAAAACAAGGAACCACAAACAGATGCGCTACAACCACAATTAAGACTTCCAAAAGGCAGGCCTAAGCCTGTTGATCGGTATCAACCCGGAGTTTGCAATCTTGACCAGGGAAGAGAGGGGTGTCACGTATGCACTTGAGTATCGATTCGTAAACACAGGCCCTCACATGATTGGTTGACAATGACCTTGCCTTACTTGCCTTATTTCATTGGTTTTCCGTTCCGGGTTTTCTAGCCACTGTAACGCAGGATGCCTTAAAAACATCGGTTCCATTATACGCCTGCGCGTTCTGTTCAGTTTAGCGGCTAAGGGCCATACTTAACACAACCTTACCCATTTATTCTACAAGTTTCTTCATACCCCCCAATTATATTTTTACCTGGATACGTCAGGTGTCTACCCAACTAACTGTATCGTTGGAGAATGCCATACATCTATCCTTGTGATATATGCCAAAGCGGGTGTATTTCCTTCTGTTTCGGCCAATACTCAAGTATTGTAGTTGGGAGTTTGGTAGAAAACACAAACTGGCTAACTTCAAGACAACCCATTCCATATTCGTAGTAGATAAGGGTGGCGTTTCATAAGAACTGGGGAACGCTGACTATTGCTTACTGATGTCATCAGTGTGCAAATTGTATGTCTTTAATCCGCTCCGTAGTGCCGGGCAGGCTACAGATTTGTACGCAGTTCCAGTTATCTGAAGCAAACTAATGTCACAGAAGTACCGCAAAAGCTTGATGTAAGCAGACTCAGCGGTGTGCATGGTAATCTGTCACCAATGTGATATGACCACTAGAGTAGCACAAATACCCTGACAAATGAACTGGGCGGACACTAAATGTGATTGCGCAGAGATGATGAGAACTGATGGCGTATTGGTTCAAGTCTTCCGAAGTACCGTGAATGTACAGAGCACAGGTTAAACCGTCTATTCAACAGTGATTGGATAGCAGTTTGTTTCGCTATAACGACGATTACTGAATATGCTTACGCTTTAATTTTGAAGGGAATTCTTTGCCATTTCGCAGCACTTGTCTTTACCTTCGAGTCCGTTCAACTTTTGATACACTCACGCTGTTATTTGGACCGGGGGAGCGGAGACTGTTTGCAGATACCATCAACAGGGCACTACAGAAATGTTTAAACAGCACCTGTTAAGATGATGAACAAATTCTCTTGGATTTCTTAACGTGCGTTACTTGCGCTTTGAGAAAATGAAATAATAGGGTGTCTAATAGCAAACTATGTGTCTCAGGTTGAATTCCTATACCCGCTTCCCATAACTGGGTGGATTTGAACAGGACCGAAACCAATTTGGGCAAGAAATAGCTGTTATGTACTATGTAGCTTCTCTCTTCAAAAGAGATAGGGATGCAACGTTTTGTGGAAGTACATGGGGAGGAGACTAGATTGTGCGGTGTTCCAGCTTGCAAAGACTGTCCAAGTGTCCCTCAAAATTGTCCCTATGGATCACTACAAGCACATTGCTAAGATGCAGGATTTAAAATAATTCGTGTGCCCTGGCCAACTCACGTAGTTTTGACCTTTGAAGTACAAATGGGACTTGGTGTGTTGTTTGTAGTTCAGGACCATGAACTTTTGCAGTCCGGAAACACTCGGTCTTGAGAAAGACCAAATTGTGAGAACGCTACTTTCAGATGTCTACCCTGCTCCATTTATATATAAAGTAAGTCCAAGACCCGCGAACACATTAAGCCTGTAGCAACTGTTCAAAAAGATATGTGTCTTTCTGTCCCTTTTAAGAGAGGTATCGTCTTCGATCTCCTGGATATGAGAATTTTCACCACCGTATCTAGGACATACGCGGTCGCCTATTCCACGTTCTTGTAAACGCCACACCGTTTATATCTCAACGTCTTAAAAACAGACAGCCAGTTATGTCCGAATCATATATTGTTTACCAGTTTACATGTGGATGTAGTACCAAGTACCTCGATCATACGACGAGGCGTCTCTCAGTGCGGATGGCTGAGCACGGCCCAGGCTCACTGCAGGGAGGAACGGTCAGAATCATCAACAGCTTCATCTTGGAACATCTGATTCAAAGTCGGCACCAAATTCTGATAAAAGATGTCTTTAAGGTTTGCCATACCGTACCGAAGCGCGACACGAAATGGCTGAGGAAACGCCTCTTGTAAACGACTGAATTGATTGCGATCAGGGGAACACAGCTAGATGCGTGCAAGAACAGAGTGCTTGTGCAACCCTTAACTTTGCCTTGGCCTCGAGGAGAAATCGTTTCGTTGGAGTATTATATATATATATATATATATATATATATATATATATATAATGGTTGGGACAATGGGTGGCTTGCGCTGCACCACCCACAGCTCCAACCACACACTCCACATCCAGTGTAAACCCGAAGGAATAAGACCGGGAGGCATGTGGATGGGAGCCACGTTTCATCAACGGAGCCGGCCCACACTCCTTCACAGGCAAACACAAGCACGCTGTATTTGGGAAATCAAGCGCACACAAGGCGGTGGTTGGACGGTTGTTCGCTCCATACTGACTGCATGGAACAACTCTTCGAGCCTAGCACGTCCACAAGGACCGTGCACCCCGTCCCCTCCAGCGAAGACCAACTGTCTCCTGGAGCCAGTATGGACGAGGTAGTGGGTAATAGACGGGTAGGTACCTTGTCAACATGCACATCAAGCGCAGCCACACCGGGGATATTAAGCAACAACCAAGCGCTTGAAACGAGAAGGGGAAATAAAATAAATTCAATAATGCATACAGATACGGTGGCAGAACTCTTCGTTAAATCAGCATATGACGTAAGTTGGTTAGCAAGGAATCCGCGATAAGGAAAAGATGTTCACAAGTTACTTACAAATGCTACAAACGCAACAAAGATACCGAAGATAAGCGCAATTAACGTAAGCAACGTGGCCAGTTAATAGAAGTTTATTCAGGTAGGCAGAACAAACCTGATGAAGCGGAATGAAATTTATCCAGCTTAAAAAGACCTAGTTTAAATGTAAGTTGGTTTAGTCTAACTGCAGTGAAGAGGCATCACGAATGCAACATCAGCCTCAGCATGGGGCATATATATATATATATATATATATATATATATATATATATATATATTGGTACAGATATTGTGCCATCGGAATCATGGCTGAATAGGAAAACAGTAGGAATAAGAAGCAAATAACTACCACAACAACAACAAATTGTTTTTTGTTCAGTTTGCTACTCACCGTTTTTGAACTATTTTTCAGGTTGTTTTTTTTTGGGGGGGGGGGGGGGAGGAAGTAGCGACAGCGCAACACACCGATAGACAAGTCCGCCACTGACATCGATCTTGAGCCAAGGCTTCCAAGGTCTTCAACCAGCAAGTATCCGCCTCTCCCGGACCTCAATCACGTAGTCGACAACAACCGACTGAGGCAAACGGTTTCGTCAGCTTTCTCATGCGGCTTCTCCAAGTTGCAGGCTGTCCACCAGACCATCTCGTTCAGCCAAGTCCAGCAACCGCAAACAAAGCACGACGCGGATAACGCTGGACAGACATGCGCAATACGTGTCCCAGGCAGCGCAGTTAATGCAGTGAGAAGAGCTCCTCGAGTGAGTGGCTTCCTCGCCCCAAGACACGCCGTCTAATTTCCACGTTGCTTACGTGGTGCCTGGGCAATGGACCGCAGACAACGGTGCTCAAAGACGGATAGCCTGCGCAAGTCATCTTTACGAATGGGCCAGGTCTCGTACCCGAACAACAGTATAGCACGAACAGTTGCACAATAGACCCACCCTTTGATGAAGAGACGAATGTCGTTGCGACGCCACAAGTGCCTTAGCTTAGAAAAAGCGAAGCATGCTCTAGAGATGTGCATGGAAATCTCGTCTCCAACAGCCCCGCCAGCAGTGATGCAACTTTCCAAGTAGACAAAGCATTACGAATAACCGGGTGCTATTTTATTATTTGGTATTGTTGCCTCTTCCGTGAACCCAAGATTTTTCGTTGCTATGTCCTTTAGTACTGCCGCGACGTTCGACACTTAATTATATCCATTTGACCATCGAACGAATGTGTTAAATATGCTCAAAGCTTCAGAACCGTTCTCAATGCTGCCCTCGCCAGACTGCTGTTGGCTTTATTAGTTACGGACTGTAATTAGCTGATGTGGATTGCCGAAAGGAGATTGCTTTGCAACCTTTAGCTATGATCTTTCTTACTTTTTCATGGGCATTATTTAGGAATTATTTAGGTCAATCCGTTTGTATTTGTCCTGTTTTCAGACGGACCGCAGTTTCTCACACCATATCTATTCACGCTTTCATTTCTGTGAAGAGAAACCAGTTGGCTTTGCTCGGAATAGATATTAAGGTATCCAATTTCAACCTCCTCGTCATACGACTCTTAAACACCAACATAGCCCAATCTTGTCTGGTCCTTTTGGCAGTGTGAGAAGACGTTAGCCAATAACGGAATGAGGGTCGTAAATGAACAGATGAACCTAGGCAGAGTATGTATTTATAAAGAAGGCTTACTGTCAGCAGTCGATCACGCAAGTCTTCAGCTTCCTGCTCCGCTGCATGTTTAGCAGTTTCGGCGTCTTCCAGCGCTGCTATCTGTTCAGCGTGTTTCGCCGATTTCACCTCGTTTAGTTCAGCCCTCAACTTTGCAACTGTTCTCTCGGCAGCCTCAACTCGACGCATAAGCTCCATGTTCCCAGCGGAAACGCCTCTCGTCTGTGCGGCCAAAACGCCGTTGCGGGTACTAGTGGTTGCGGCGCCAAAACGTTGAAGAACTTTAGGCAGTTTCTGATGCTCCTCAAGTTGGCCTAGTTTCAACTAAAAGAAATGTTAGTGGTCTTGGGATGGATAAACGCTAATTGAAAGGAAACACTTGTTCCTAAATGCGTCCATTCACACATAGTCTTCTTTGATGGGAAACAACTAACTAGCTAAAAAGCTAAGTAAAAATGCTTAACTACGCGCTTATAACATTGGCAGTTGAAATCTGAAAAATCTTAAACTGCAAAGTTAGGGTAGCAGCGCAAATGAAGCTTCCCCAATGCTAGAGTCATGTGGCCAACATTACTAACATGGAGTAGCCATGACATCACGGAAACTGCGATAAAGTTACCGTTCACATGAGGCCATGATTGAACGTTCGTGTGTGTACATATGAAATTGTCCACTCTTAGCTTGCTCACCGGCAATTTCAGGTTCAGCTAGCACCGCATACTTGTGCCTATTAGTGAGTAGAAACAGTTACAAGCAACACCAAATCGCTTATCGTTATTCGACACGCAGAATAATAGAGTTAAATGTTATCCAATGCCATCAGTCGATGTGATAACAAGCTGAGCGACGGAATATTAATTTTCGCTGCTTCGCCACCGGATTTAATAGACTCGCTTTGTAAGAGTTCTCTTGCTTCTCTCTTTAAATTAATTTATTCAACCATACAGTTGCGGCTGTTGTTTCAGTTCGGTTTCAATGTGTGCTACTGTAGTTGCCGGCAGAACGACTCTGTTCTAGTTTCAACCTTACGTAGGATGCAGTCTCCATCACCTCCTTACTCATTAGATTGTGACTGACGCAATATCCTGACCATTCTTGATTTCGATGCTGCAGCAAGTGTTATGAAGTGTCATTCCGCCAAAGCATTACTTGATTACTTGGTAGGTTAAATTTGGTGGACGCAGTAAACCACCATATAGAATCAATCATTTTTGCCTAGTCATGTGTATATTTACTCGGCCGGTGGCCGAAAGGATTGCATGCGTAGCTTGCAACCCTTACGTCCCCGGTTCGAAACCGCGTAGGGGCGGGTGTCCTCTGTTAGCTCACGCGCGGCCCGTGGTGCTCGCGTGTCAGCGAACCGTCGTTACAGTGTGTGCTGGCGTACTACTGATGACTATTATCGTATGTGTATATTTTACGATTGCCCATTCTTTCAGCTAGAGCAGTATGATGGATATAATTGGATTTGCTGGCGGCCTCCTCACGTGTCACCTAGGCAAGTGGTCCACAAAGCAGAAAGAACATGTTTTTATCCTACCAGTTAACCCAAAGTGCTGCAAATAGCTACAAACAGGGCTACACTCATCAACCAACCTCCAAGCTATTCTTCTCGTTCAACAGGTTTTCGTTAGCCGACTGTAATTCTTGGATGTTTTTCTCCGAGGCACGTTCCAGATCCAGTAGCCGGATGGTGGTTTCGTGAAGAATTTTTCTGGTATTCGCAATTGTCAGTTTACGATCCTCTTGCTGTAGTAAAAAGTAAAACGATATTATACGTAATAACTGGTGTTGTGTATTCTGTCAGCATTCTTGACGGCTAGTCTAAACAGACACGTGCGCACCACGCCAGATATACACAAAGCGTCTAATTCTCTGCTTCCCATTTGGTTCATCCTACTCCTTGTGACACCTTAATTTATTCACCCAGTTGGACATTGATCCGATTACAGCAGTTCGTTTACGAGAGTAACCTTTTTACTACTGCTGGTGCATTTGATCTTTCGTATACAACAACTAGACAACGCAGTTGGTCTGCGTCTCGCACCATCAAGAAACATAAAATGCATTTAATTATAAATGTATAAATAACCACAACTCTGACGGTGAGATTGAAGCCATTGTTGTTGTAGGGGCACTGCACCTGCATTTCACTGCTGCTTTCACTCAAACGGTTCTCCGGCCACTTAGAACGATGTTGCGACCAACCCTGTCGGTGATTTGAAGGACGCATTATCCCACTTGTTGTGTCAGTCCCAGCTGCTCCAAACCACGTAGGCATCGTGAACACTGGGACCAGGAAGGACTAGGTCCTTTGCAAAAGCACATGGCGTTGTTATATAGCGGACGAGCATCAGTCAAAACCAACCAAGGCTCTGAAAACACCTGGCAAAGTAAGCCAACGGGATAGTAGTCACATAAAGCACTACTCAGGCGCAACCAGCGGGGGGTATTCTATAGCGTCAATGTCAGGTAAACATTTGCGGTGAGTCACCTGAAGCAGACACTGGCAATTGTCATTCAGGCTGCCAAACAAACTTCAAGAGATGTGCGCTGCAACAGTGAAATCTTTTATTTACCAATTGTGACACAAAATTTATCTCAATTTAGTCTACTCTCAGCGCTAGTGATTTTCGACGATTTCACATTAGGCAAAAGTGTCCGATTGAAAAGGCTACTGTAGTCATATTGTGGATATATTTTCGCGAACATATAACAATATCTGTTTCAGCTACGATCCAAGGAGACGAAGCAGATGAGGCTTACTACAATGTAAATCACTCAAAGAACTGTCACTGACTATTCCAAGCTTCACAACCTAGTGACAACCGTTGACTGGGGCCTACAGATTCACAGTTCGGCAAAAGGCGCATAGAATGAAATGAAAGATAAAGTTAAATGGGTCATACTAGCAGTCTCAAAAGTTGTACCATTATGGGTATCGCGCCGGACCAACAGTTGGATCCGGAGCAGAACACGTAAATGGATCAAAAGAAGGGATGAGACTTGGAGGCAACATATGTAATCCCATGTGATACCACATGACAGAATTACAAAATAATCAGCAACTACTGCACGTCACTTAGCAGAGCAGACAAGTACGGGTGGCAAGGCTACTCAAGTTTGCGAGTAACAGCAAACTGCTATACAGGTATGTGAACGACAGAAGGTTTAACCCTGGAATACCACCACTCAAGTCGGCCAGTGGTTTAACGACTGTTGCTGTGAATACGACGAAAGCTCTACTCCTGAAGTTTGACCCGGTGGCTACAAATACCATAGAACCTTCGCCATATCAACTCTCAACAAATGTCGTCGGTTTATCCAGTGTCACCTTTAGCCCAGAGGCTGTCGTGTACACATCCTAGTCTCTCCAGGAAAACAGTGCCTCGAGAATCGACAAGATCTGCACAAAGTTGCCTAAAAACCCAACCCCCACCATATCAGTAAATCTTGCAGCCATTCTCCAAGGTCTGTTTGACTCCAATACACTCCCGTCTGAGTAGAAACGGGAAATCCTCACTCCGATCTACAAAGGAGATAAGCAACTGGATCCTGAAAACTACCATCCCATTAAACTTCAAGCTGGTTTATTAAAAGTGATGGAATCGATAGTTGCAGGAGAACTGACGCGATATTTGAAAGCCTGCAACTAATTTCCAATGTCCAATGTGGTTTCAGACGTACACGATATTGTCTCACAATTCTGCTCCTTGCTTGGGCATCACGGACTAGGGCACTTGATGTAGAAGTCCCCATAGATATGGCTTAGTTGGATTTTTCCAAGGCATTCAACAGGATCACTCACTCCGTTCTCCTCTAAAAGATCGCTGCCTACGGAATCAACGGTTCCCTGCTCACCTGCATGCAGCTACTATGTTTTGTTTAAATAAATGACCTCCTAGGAAACATTTTATCCTCGATGCAGATATTTACAGATGATGCTTAAATATGGAGAGCAATTCGTTCAGCATCCGACCGTTCCCATCCTCAGAGCGATCTGAATTGGATAAACGAATGGAGAGAAAGGAACCAGCTCAAACTGAACCCTGCAAAGTGCCACCTGCTGATGGTGCGTAGAAGCTTCCGTAACATGTATCTTCTGGGACAGCACATTTTGCAACAGGTGCCTAGTAAACGAGAGTCAGGTATCATCGTCCAAGAAAGTATTGGCGATTCACTTCAATGCTTGAAAGCAGCGAATGTGGCTAAGTTAAACTGGAGGCTTTTAATTCAATCTCGAGGCGCCTTTGAGCGCCGGCTAATACTACTGTTGATGAACACGTATCTTCATCCTCATTGAATATGCTGTTTAGGCCTGGTGCCCATGATTAAAACGAGCTATTCCTCTCTTGGGGCATCCCAAAGGAGAGCCACCAAGGCAACATGTGGACTATCCGCTCTAAGTTACTATGTGTGTTCTCTTCAGAACACCTATGGCTTCGAGGAGATCCCGTTCTCACATACGGGATACTAACTGAGAACGAGCACCCATGTACATCACTGCTGACGCTAGCCCCTAACAAACAATATTGAGGCCACCATCTGCAACTAGCAATGCAACACTCCCGTTGGGATTGTAGGAAATATTTTTACTCACTTAAGATCTGTTCCTATTGGAATGCACTACCAACACATGTGGTTAACGCACCAGACGTTGCAACATTTGAGAGACTTTTAGACTTTCATATTAATGCTAAACGCTACATAACAGTGTAATAAATTGCGAAGTATTTACTACTGATGATTCACGTTCAATGTGGAAACGTTTTTGATTTTCTTGTGCATTTTAAATCTTTTGAGTCTTGTCGCGTTTTGCTTTTTACCCCATCATACACTATTAGAATATTGGGCGCGTTGCAATCCATTCAAAGAACGGGTGCTTCGGGTTAACGTTTGCAACGAGGCATTTACAGATGTGACAAACGTTGCTTGCCGGTAATCGTTGGCGTGGGGTTACAGGTTTCAGCTGAAACCCCAACACTTCATTGTCGAGCCGCATTCATACTATCTTTGCGTGATGGGCGTAAATAAATCCGAAACAAGTGGTGGGTAGCGTTGCGTGCAGCCCACATGTGCGATTTATTTTCTTCAAGCGCAAAGAGAATTCAAGTGAATCAGAGATACGTCTGGGAAATGCTTACCCGAGGGCTTCATTGACACATGAAATAAAGTAGTCCGAAATTTGCAAGGCACACCGTCGAGAACAAACATCTGTTCCTTGCCTTTCCATTCAGAAGCCATAACGCGTCAGAAGTGTGTGCGCGACTACTGGTGCGGATTTGTGAGAAAACATTCGTCGCCGAGCAGTTCAAAAGTGTCTTCAAGAGCAACCCACATTTTGTTCCTAAATTCAAAGTGCCCGGCCATCTTCAATCTATGGTAATTTACCGGTTTATCTGTCCCTGTGGGTCTAGGTACGTTGGATGCACGACCAGCCATTTGTGCAAACGAATCAAGGAATACCTACCACTTAAGCTCATGAACAAACAAGATAGAACCAACTAAGTGCAATCACAAACCATCTGATCAGCACCGGCCATCAAATAGACAAAAGGACTGCTTTTGAGAGCACTTTTCCAGCAGAACCAGCGGCTGAGCGTGCAACTAATTGTTACCGCCGAAACGGTATGCATAAGATTAACAAATCCGAACGTATGCATCCAAAAGAAACACGTCCAAGCGCTACAGTTCACATGACCATGATTCAAACGAGAAGCGTCGGACCTAACCCAGCAATCACACGTGTCTTCCATCACATGATTGCCAGACGCATATCAGTGAACTCGATTCGAATGTTTTTGACCAGTTGTTGCCTTTTAAACGCACAAGTGATCTGCCACCATTTTTATCGCTTATTTCTGTACTGAGTCTGATGACGAATAAACCGAAAATTTGTTTACTCTGAAAACACAGCTTGCGTTGCTCATGGGGATTAACAAAAACGATTACTTCATCAGTTGAAACGTTTCGGTTCTTTATCAATAATAATCATGACCGTTTGGAATTCCACGGATTATGGTTATGGCAAATCGCCTTCGAAAATTTAATCATGATGCCTTTTTCCATTTCTCTGTAAAATGGATAGTTGTCTAAAGTGGCTTACAATGCTATCGAGCGATGATGGCGCAGCCATCGAAGTGACTGCAAAGACTGCCCATTGCACGTTTGATATGCACATGACAGGGCCGCAAAAGGTAACATTCTTACGAAAGACTGATGACCCATAACAAGGAACGAGGACAGAAACGGACGCAAACATCATAAAGGAAATCAGACGTCGCAACGCAAGCTTTAAAGAACGAGTTAAAAGTGGATTGCAAGCGAAGAATGGTAGCGAGTCTGAGCAAAAAGGAACAGAGGTTTTGGGCGAAAGGCTAATAAATCAATCAGACACATCTTTGTCGGTGTCTTCAGCAGTATTGAAATCAGGATCAAGTTAAGCAAGAGCCGTAGAACAAATCCAGACGGGTTGAATGTGATTTACGAGGTCAAACAGACGGGAAATATTCGTCAAGTTGAGATGCAACAATTCACGAATGTGACAGGTAGTACTTTCATTTGCATTGCGTTGTCCGGCGGAACTATGGCCTATATTTGTATGTACGCTTGAGAGCTTCGTTAACCTATGTCGCTTTCAATAAAGATGGTGCCTTTTCGCCTTTTCATTCTTGTTACAATATCACAGCCGTTCACTTGGTTTCGGATGTTGTAGCCCATCCTCCGTTGTCCGGCGCTCTTAAGCGTGA